ATATTTATAAAAATAATAATATGTACAACATTATAATATGTATTACACGAGCGCGCTGCTGCTGTCTTCGGCCAAATACTTTTTAAAAATAATTAGAAAACGAGTATTATATTCGAATACCCAATAATAATAATAAGTGGTTAGAGACTATAGCGTACCTAATTTACGCGTACGCCATATAGTACGATGTTACGAGCTATCGATTATGCTCGTGGACTTGCGGCGCGGAATCATATGAATTATTTATGTATTATTTGTGTACATTATGCATGTACTTACCTATATATATATATATATATATAGATGCATACTACAACAAATCACCGAAAAACGGTTGAAGAACATCTCAAGTGTCAATACCATATACTTGGGCACCCCAGAAAGCTGCTCGGATTGCAGATGACTGCAATAATTATGCCCCGTAGTACCACCAAAGAGTTTTGGAATTTTTTGCCCACGTTTTTCCCTCCCGAAGTGTGCTCGTGCCACCTCATTCCGCGGATTATTATCGCCACAGAGTGTACGACTGTATTGTTTTAAATGTAAACAGGAAAAACCTTTTTCTCCACAGCGGTTCAACACCGGGTTAGGTTATAACCGGCTGCTGATGTCTGTGTATATGCACTTTGCATGTGACAATCCTTTAATCGTGGCCTGTAGGCGATAATATAATGTTATAAATTATGTCATGTTATTGAACCCCGCCACGCACTAATGTGTAATTTTCGTCACGACTCCGGAGTCCGGACTCACGATTGTATATTTTATACTGTTATTAATTGTTGTCTTATCGGCTTTCATTTGTCTTAAAAAATCCAAAACGAATGCTTTCTGCAATTCGTATATACTCATAAGTTAAAACTGTCACAACTGCAGGCCACATTTACAAGCGCATGTACATAGTGTGTTACGTTGGCTTTACCTCATACGTCCACCTGATAAATAGTGTTATTAATTGTGTAAAATGCATACAATAAAGTTTTGTTTCTCAGATATTCAAAACACATTTTAAATCAACCGCTTTTTGCCGACCACAATAAAAAATAACACACTGTTATATGGCGGCACCTCATTGTATATGTTGACGTTTGATGGTTATTTGCACTCTGTAAACAATAATGTTCACGTTGTAGGACGACATCGACTTCCGCCAATAAGTGTATTAATATCACAACACACAATATATAACTTAAAAAAATGTTTGCACATTGCACAGTTTGTGTCGTGGCCGCCGCAGCGTTTCGGTTGATGGATTTCGGTATTATTATTTTTTCGCCGGACGATGATGGCAGACGATGGGTGCGATTTCCGGGAAATAAATCATATAAAAACACCGGATCCGTCTCGCCACGCGACTCTCGGATGCGGCCGTCGATCGAATGGACGGTTTTTGTTTTTTACTCTCCGATTCAACTACACGTTCACCGTTAATACCGTTATAACGAATTTATTTAATATTATAGCTTTACTGCAGCACTGTATATCCATATAATACCCATACTCGTTATTCTTGCGCGTAGCAAATTAAAACCGAACATCATTAAACGGCCGTTTGTGCGCCTATTCTGTGTTTTCAATATAAATACACCCGACATGATATCAGTTGCAATATTGAAATGCACAATTTCTAAAATTATTTATGCGATCCATAAATAATATTTCTCATATATTATGTCGTTGCACGAGACCGTATACGTTCCGGAAGATCATCGAGTAGGCTCAGTTTTAATTTTTTGTCCGGGAAGGCGAACAAATTTACGGTCTAAGACGACTCGTGCACCCATCTTAACAATAGCTCACCTTTAAAAATGTATTGCTCCTCACGAGATTTCGTATTTTATTGATACATTATACAGTGTCATTATCACCCCACTCGAGCACAACACACCCCACACACACACACACCGATTTACGACAACATAACTGACATTACAAAACTTGTGACGATAAGTCATAAGTGAGTATAGTGTTACCAGCTAAAATCAAGAAGTAAATGACCACAAATGGACGACACTATCATGATTCGTGAATAGATAGTATTATAATATATTAATCGATTGTATACATTTTTACTTTTTATAGCGACAAATTAATATCATAATACAATAATAGTTTGCAGCTGCAGTGTTTGCAGTTGTTTAGGTTTTTAGTTTTGTCGAGATTAAAAAAATAGCGTTAAGTATTCCATTTTAAAAATTAAAAATATTCAAGTGATAGTAAACGATTTTATTTGTTATAAACATCTCGGGGAGAGGGTGGGTGAGTAAATCGGCTCGCTTTGCCCCATCGGCCCGAATCGCGCCTATGCGGGAAACTCGAAAATGTCTAAAACACCGTCTTTATGCATGAATATATAATATACATTTTTTAATATCACGTGTTCGTCTCGAGATTTGTTTATCGAAGGGCGTGTAAACAAGACTTCATAATGACACGCGTATACTCTTCACACAGTATATTTAAACATTTGAAGCGACCAAGAAACGAGTTGCGTTAATTGTTTTTCACCCTTTCGTATATATTATGTTGCACGTGCATATTATATACATATTATACACATTATACACTGCTGCGGTGCTGTGAGTTTTTTATGTCCGCGCCAGAAAGGTCGAGATGCTGATAGAAGTGTACGCTTTATTATTATTATATTTTAAGTGTCGCGTCGTAGGTATATAATAATAAATATTTCGCAGTGTGGCAGTGTGCTCGCGCTAAGAGGTATACCGTGTAAACATTGCAGCTGGATGATATGGAATGATGGGATTTTCAGAATGACGTGAGCATATCGAGTGACTTACACACGTTGAGATTATTTCAATTTTTTATCTTTTCGTTTTTTTTTTCAAACTCATGTCATTATTATAAACATAGCGACGTCCGTTTTTTCCACAGGTTCTGGTGCACCAATTTTTTTAAAAACAATTTCGATAAAAAAGTCTCACCACAGACGAAATGTACAAAGTACCAAAAACATACAACTATATACTGCAATACATACACCGATGCACGTATTGTGATTAATTCAAATCTACGCTGTACACATCATCAGTTTTTTTTAAATCGATGAAAATTCCATCAATTTGCATAGACCGTAATGCCTATACATAATAATATACAACACTGCGACGCGTACGACCGTATCGAAGACCGTAATAAATCTTAACGTCTATACATATATCATCGGGAAATTGACTTACAGAATAAGTTTTGTGTTGCACCTACCTATAATATGCATCGATGCGAATGTAGAAAAAAAAGGCTAACTAAATTTTGTATTTGAAAATACATTAAACACAATAATACAGTGAGCTGAGGAGCTCATATTTTAGGTAATTTCGAATGGATTTCGCATCGTTCCAAAGTATAAATCACATCGCGTATTACAATAATTTAACTATAAATTATCATTTATCATGCAATAAAGTGTAGTTTTGGACGAGCCAAAAGCGTTTAAATGCATTGGTATGTACCCTCGCAATTGCACATTTTAATAATAATATATTATATTATTATATTATGTAGGAAAACGCCTGCACGTATACCATTCGGCCGTGACATTGACTGCCATAGTCGTAAATTGTACGATTTGTGAAAATCCCGAAATCTCGCTCGACGTGGAGATTAAACTTATGTAAGTACCTCGTGTACATTATAAACGCATTATCTTTAACGCGGGCGAATATTCTGCGGCCGTCGCATCATATTATAAAATAATAATAAACATAATGTTATACATGTATTGGTATAGCGGTTATGGTTACATATCGACGTGCGCCTTAGACAATATAAAATTAATATATTATAATAATATTGCGAAATAATTTAAATGCGAGAGACGGACTGGAGAAACCGCATCGCGGTGATAAAATATCCATTATATGATCGTATTATATGGTATTATTGCTCTACGTTTTATGCTTTTTTATTGCAAATATATGCGACGACGACGTGCCCGACGCTCGTACGATTATGTATGAATTACGATCGTCCCGACTTTATTTCCCTCCCCCGTTTTGGCGTCGTTCCAAAGGCTCTGGTGGCGGAGTGACCGAAGGAGCGCATAACATTTAAGGTACCATTTTGGCACACACTGCAAATTAACTTATAATTATACAGTGTGATTCACTGTTCACCGAGTCTGTTCACTCCAATTGTTTCGTTCAAAACATGATTTTTTTGGGATTTTCAAGTACACTGAAGGACAGTATTTCCGAATACTTAGATTTGTCATAACATTTGAAGAGTGTCGTGCCTGTGGCGATACCGACTTTTTATCAAATGACCATCGCCCGTTTTCACTTGTACATTTTTACGCAGAGACACCTTTCTTCAAAATATTGATGTAGGGATCTAAATCGATATTCGAACGATTAGTTTTTGAGTTATTTAAGTCTATGAACTCATAAGGACTAAGGTCAATGATGGATAACAGCTGGATTGGAAGGTATGGAGGATACATCTATTAACATTTCAAGATTTGTAAAAGTTGTCCCAATATAATATAAGAGCTAGATTCAATTTTATATTTTTGTAAAACATATTTTAAATACTATAATATTACTCTTAGTATATTTTTATACATTTTAATAACTTAGAACTACTTACTCATTCAAATTTTGATTTAGATGGGCACATCAAACTCATCAGCCTAAGAATTTGAAGTAAAAAAGGGTGAGTACTCATTAGAAAAACGATGTTTAAACCTCCTTAAACGGTATAAAAAAAAAATACTTATCTTGAAAAGTTATTTATGTATTCGTGTATTTATATAATAAAAAGTATTCCTAAAAAGTTAAAAAAAAACAGAATTACATCGAATTCGTAATTCAAAAGGATACAAATAGGGGTGAGCAATGAGCACGCTTGGCGAATCACTCTGTATGCATTATTGTGATATTTCGTTTGTAAATGGGGGGTGGAGGGGGGGTCCGTTAGCGTCCGGAAACACAAACAAATATTTAATATTCTCTTAGCGTGCGTTTTCCGTGATAAACCTTATTGCGGCGCGCAGTGTGTCGTCATACCGAAACGAGGAAAATTCGTAACGAAATCAAGTCATCGTCATGCAGTACCGAATACTAAGTGTAATAATATGATAGTATGTATTACATGAATACGTAAGTTGCACTGCTGCGAAGAGAGCTGTTCGGCATACACAGACTAGAATTTTGCGGACGACATGAATTCACGGTTGCTTGCTATGGATATAGGACACGGGTAAGCATCATATTTTTCGTTCGTTGCGCCTAATAACACACTAATAAATCATAACAGTCGACCGACGGTAGTAATAATAGTAATAGTATGCGAAAGATACGGTCGAATCCAGCCGTTGACATCGGACATCGGAGGGGTGGCTGCAGAGGGAGAGGGGCCCCTCCACCCCGGATCAGCTTTCAGTCGTACAACTGATTTTCAGTCAAGCGTCAGTAAGCTTCTGCGTCCCCCGTACGTATTACCCTCTTTAAGACTAAAAAAAAAAAAAAGAAGCTATAAATTATAATTCAAAAGTCAATACGTATTATATAGATACGCGATGCACAATGTCAATGTAGAATGTCAGTGCACTGTTTGCTTTTTCTCCCTCTGCAGACCAGCGAACCACATTTAGACGAATTGCGTTCAGTCGAACCTGCAATCTCGACTTATTGTTACGTTTTATTATACATGGATCTAATACGCATCAGGGCGAGTTCACCTATTATCCAACTTCAGAACATTATCTGTGTTTTTGCGATGTTTAAATTTAAATATTTTACACATAGGTATACCTACAACTGATATTATGGATTCGTGCGAGTCGTAGGATCATACTGAATACCGTGAAAAAGCCAGCGTACAAACACAGACAATACGTATCTACTTAACGTCAAGCCTGATAATATTCACTCCGACAACACGAGACCGGTGAACGCAAAATGAACTGAAATTCTCGACGTTATGCTCTGGGGTCAGGGAGATGATAAAACAAATAGTGTGCTGACGTCCTCTTGAACCACGTCTCTGGGCTATTGTAAAACATATTATATAATGTGACATTTTTGAAAATTTTACGAGACCGAAAACAGTCACTGAACAATTTGAACCCCGTGATCAGCTGGCGATCGGTAAGTGTTTCCGAGACCTATACACGGTATACCGTTTACCGAAAGACCGGTATACGTCCGAAACCCGTTTTCGCGGATCCGACGGTGGGCGTACGCGGTTCCAGTCGATTCCTGCAACTGCAATAGCATTATATTATAGCGATCTAAACGTCCACCGACAAACCGACACGTGTAGTTGGTCTTATCGGATATTTGAAGAGACGTCCGCGTGTTGTACGCCGCTGCATTTCATTTATAATATTTAACGATAATAATATGATATTATCATCATGTCCAGTGAAATATACCCGACCGGTATAACTGCGACGTGCCGGTACACGATAGCTGTTATTGGCGCGTCGGTAAAACGCGTCTGATGCGCGAAGTTTCTATTTATTTTTTTTTTTCGGTTTTAATTAAAGATATTTTTAGTATAGCAAAAAAAAAAAAAATTAAACGCAACGGATAAGACGTGTACGTCGACGAAGCGAATTTTATGCGTATACAAAGTATTATACCGCGGCTTCGTCTGGACAACTCGACATTTAATATAATATTTATTTACTAGCGTCGTCTGATGTACCTACTAACAAGTATATACGTAACGTGATATTAATGGTACTTCTGCTGATCGCGATGTCATGAAATGATATTATAACACAATCGTTTACGATTATTATAATATTATAATGCAATCGTTTGCGACTATTGCGGTCGAGCGGCGAAAAAAATTGCCCGACGCTCAGTGTTGGTTTTCTTTTCAGTTGTGATATCGTTTGGAGATAACTGTTGATTTTATCTGACGTTGAATTATGTAGGCCCGCAAATTGAGATCAGCGTTTATCGTCGGTATACATCTATATCAAATGCATATTACAGAGTAATTCGCTTGTGTCGGCTCGATGCACTCGTGAATCTCATCTGCAACGGACGCGGAGTTATTCGATAAAAAACAAAATTATTTTTTCAACGAATTATTCGATAAAGCTCTTCGTCGTGTGCGATAATCGACAAACGCTGACTTGCGAATATTGCCGCAAATAGGGAGGGGGTGCCAGAGGATCTTTAGTACCACCAAGTTCAAATTTAGCACGCCTTGCAGTTTTTTAGGCTGCAGACGTTCAACCATTATTACTATAGTAAAATACCATCAATTTTATGTTTTTTAACTATGAAATATTTATCGAAAGAAAATTAAAACGATTTTGGTCATTACTATCGACTTATTAAGTTATAATATTAAATATTAATTATTTACAATTCACAACGAACAGCCACTGCTCTGTGAAGTATTTACAATTATAGCACCTCACGTTTTAGAGGTCTAGTTGCGTCTAGCTTGAGTATATATTGAGTGTTGTCTGTTGGGCCCCTGTGATATTCTAGCCCATAACTTTTGTGAGTTGTTTTTTAGTCTGCTGCAGTTCTCAATAACTGCAGCAAGTTTCTACTAAGCCCCGCATCGTCCTTTCCACCATATAGAATGTTTATTTGACCGCATCGTGCACTTCTGCTTGCCAGCGGCGATATACGAACGTAAAATAAGTAATAACCCACTAGTAACCTAAAATTGACCCGTCGATCAGCAATTTGTAATAAACACGAGTACGCTATTAGCATTACTATTACTATTTGCCTATACCCAAGCATTTTAAAATTTAAAAAAAAAATCAAAAACCCATCATATGGCGGTTTCTCGAAGACCACGTTCGTTACTTCACTGTTGCACTCCGCGTGGGGGAAGCGGGGAACTCTAGACTTATAGAACTTAAAATGAAAATAAATGAACAGGACTTGTCAGGACTGCACTACTGACGAGCGTGGTCATCGCTATCAAACGAAAGAATAACATTTTAATACAATACATTAGGTACGCGGCACAAGTGGACGATAATGTGTGAGCTAGATTGGAAATCGCACGGTGACGGAGGAGTTTCATGCAGTCGGCGGCACTTTTATTATATTAATGTGATTATGTGATGATGTTCGACGAAGAACGGAAAAATCTCCAAACGGTTTGACACAGTTTTCGTACAATCGTATGAAATATTCTCACGTCGTCGCATTATTTCGCGACTCGGACGTTTCCCTCACGCTTCCTGCAACTCGCTTCGTCGTGCGTCAGGCACCCGTCGTTGTAATTTTATTATATTATTGTAAGAGCAGCGTCGGGTTTATTATTGTTGTGTTATAATATCGGTATAACTATATGATAATAATATTTCGGTACGAAATTCGGACAATTGTACCGAAACAATAATAATATAATGCGACGTGCAGCAGTAGATATATATATATAAATATTATATTTGTACGACCATCGCAGCACTTACGAAACGGTTTTATTTTTTTCCCCGGGACTTCCTGTTTTCCGCGTTTCCCACACGCCGCCGCACAATCTCGAAAAACCAATAGCGACGGCTCGCAACCTTTTATATAATATGTATAATATGTAAGATATTTCTTCGTCCTTTTCGAGCTCACACACACGAGGGACCGATTTGTGTCACACACACACACACACACACACACACACACACACTAGCACATCGTAGGTATAAAATATTGTACATGTGGCCGACACGTTTCAAATGACATTTATTTTTTTTCCGCCGTCCATGAAATAATAACCAACGTACTTACTACATATATAATATATATACAGGGTGTTTTTAAAACAAGCTCATATTACTTTTAAGCTTACATTTATGCTAATCAGATTTTTGGAATTTAAATACACTTGAAGGCCATTTTTCAAATCATTGAAAAGTTTGTACCGCTTAAGAATGATTCTGTGGCAATGTAAACTTAAGTTTTTCAAACAGGAACCTCCTTTTTTCCTTTTTGATTATTAAGCAGACAATTTTTTTGAGAATTTTGATGTATCTGAATAATATGAATGATAATGGGTTAAGTATGGATAGGGGGCTTAGACGATTTGAAAAAGTTAGCAATTTACTTTTGCTTTATGAATATAAATAATTTGTAAAATTATTGATCCAAGTATACTGAATACCACATCTAACATTACATATAATTTTTATGTTTAAAAAACCATTTCTAAGGATTATTATTCTTGGCTTGTATGAACATTTTAATAACTCAGAGTTTACTCATTAGAATTTTCATTTAAATACATCAACATTTTCAGAAATATCACCAGCTAAATGACTATCAATAAAAAAGGAGGCTAATCATTTGAAAATGGAAGTTTGTATCGCCACAGGATACTCCTCTTATAAGAGTATAAGTAAAATATCAGAAATTTGAATATGCGGTATTTTGGTCTACCTGATAAATCTAAAACTCAGGATTTGAATAAATGTACTGTTAAAGGGAAAACGGGGGCGACCAAGCTTAGAAAATCACCCTGTATAGTCGCATGTGTGCACCAAATCGACTCGACGACGAGTACGAGCGGAGGCGTGCGGACAAGATGATATTAATATTGTATTTTGTCACCGTCAAACATCGTCTCGACCCGAATCGGAAGACTTGGCGACGGGCGCCCTCTCATACGGGCCTGCAGCCATAGTACAATATTACAGACCCTCTCCGACCTTACACACATGACCACGGTATATTATAATACACGACATTATGGTCGCCGATTTATTGCCGAGACTCCGAGGTCTGCGACTGAGTCGTAAACACGCCGCACGGCATTTAGACACACACACACACACACACACACACACACACACACACACACACACACACACACATGTATATATAGGTATGGGACTAATATATAGTGTTGTAAAGAGTCGACGTACGTGACTTTTGACGAGTTTGTCGAGGTCCGAACACGCCCTGCGTGTGTTTTATTTCAGTTTTTCCTCACTTCTCCTCGTCGTACAAAACGACTCTGGAACAACACTCTCGTGTCAAACATCGAGAACGTGTAATATGCACTTTATAAATTATATTATGATTACACTATAATATAAGGTGTATAATATAATCTCTGCCGTTTGCCATATGTCAGCAGTATATTTGGCCACACCAATATTATAAAACCGAGAGCTTGTAGGTATATTATTGTGTTTGAAAGCTCTGATCGAGCAGAGACTTTAATTTTGATCGATTTCGTATCGGGATCAATCAATTTAGATTCCTCGACACTCTGATTGTGTTTTTAGCTCATACTATTCGTTCTTCAACCCCATTATAAATAATTACTAATATATAGAGCGGCTCACGTCATGTGAATTTCGTTTCGGCTAACGATAATCGAATAATTTATTGACCATGATAAAATGTAGGATTATTGCCATCGTTTACAGGTGTACAACATATTAAAAAGAAAAAATATGCTGTATAGACTCTAGCTGACATGCGTTACTCTGAGAGTTTTATTTTAATAATTTAATGTATTGTTTGTCATTCGAATGGTGTATAACAAATGTCCTTATAATAAAACGTCTGCAGAGATGTCCGGAAAGTTTAGGGAGTAGGTTAAAAATATACAAAGTGGTATGTACGTCGAGGATTGCTATGATTTTGGTCGAATTAGTTTGCAAAGCTAGGTAAACAGAGTATGCAACAGATTTTCAGGTTAACTGAGGTTCTCTGAAACCGACGTACAGCGCGATATTTTATTTTTGTTAATTTTTTCCCAGACAAAGTCTACCTATATATATTATTATACAGCTAGTTAGTTATATTTTGATTTTGACGAGTCCGAAGATAAGGACATAATATGTTATTATTATATTATTATAATGCATTAATACACCTCCATCGGCCGGGAAATAACATCACCTAAAATGTACTTCACTTAATATGTTTCTGTCGACTGCCGCTGAAACACTCTTTGTATAAACTCGGTCGATTTTTTTCGTTTTTCAAAAGTAGGTATGTTTCTACGTGTTAAACATAATAATATAAGACGATAAATTTTTTAATAGTTACCACTATACTACAACATCCCGATGGTATATAAGCACTTAAAGTGAGGATGAAATTCACAATGCAACAATATTATTTCTATATATACTCTCGAAGCACATATTATATTATTC